TATATTTAAAATTTTATTTTAATTAAATAATTATTTATTAAATTATAATAAAAAATAAAAGGGCAAAAAGTTTTGTCTCAAACTGTATCTTACGTAATACAATTTGCTTTATTAAGTTATTTAAATATTATTATAATTTTAAAGATATAAAAAACAAAATAGTAAAAGAAAGATATTAGCAATTTTATGTATTATTTCAAACAAAAGTAATAAAAGAAAATAAAAATCTTTATTATGAGATTACAAACTAGTTAGCATAAAATTTTCAGATAAAAATATTAAACAAATTCCGATATCCAATATATACTAGTTTTTGTGATGTCTGAACATAATTACATATCTGCTTCCCTATACGTGACTTTTATTTTTCATACCATCTGGTGCAGTGCATCGAAAAATTTCTTATATATATAAGCAGCTTTACGTGCCGAATTCTTAAAACTTTGCGCAGTATTGTACCGGCGACAACGTTTCTTGTGCATGAGGTAGAATGGAATTATGTGAAAATGAATCGTGATGATAAGTGTAAATCGTTATTGTATTTACATCAGTTGCCAATACTTCCGTAATTATACTACGTATAGGTTCGAAATTTCTTAATCTCAAGAATAATATAGATATGCAAAAATTCGGGTAGGATAATTTATTTCGGAAATATAGTTCGGTAAAAGGCTGTGGGGGAGAGAATCACTTAATTAGCAATAAAAGTATAAACAACTTAGTCATAGATACTTTTCGTAAAAGTGAGAGAGCAAAGAAATAAACTTGATGATGGAACTCGCATTAAATGGCCTAGAATCCGCGTACTCCCTCTCTCTTTGATATCATTATACATTTCACTTATTTCATAAACTTTAATTGATATTGAATTCGCCATACAACGTTAATTACATTTAGTACATTGAATTGTGTTAAAATATAGGATTCTTGCTAATATTCTACACAATCTAAAGAGATCTGTGGGAATTTTGTACGCTTGCATAGATCTTCGTCATCAACAAATTTTCTTTACTACTTTCACGTTCATCGATAATACTTTTTGTAATTATTCTTAAATCAAAAATTTTGCTGGATTAACAGACCTTATTATGAGCTTAAAAAAAGAGGATTTTGTGAATAAACTGAGAAAAGAAACACCGAATTCTTTAAAGCTTTATTATATAACTTACCAGCAGTAAATTAAGCCCGAGATGAATATATCTTTCCATAAAACTCAGTAAAATTATTTTTGTCAACAATTGCGCATCTTGTTGGTAGTAGGGTTTTTTTAAATTTGCTCGAACAGTTTGACAGGATTATCAACAGCCAGTTATCCAACCCAATCTTTCTTGCGAAGTCCTTAACTTTATTACATCCGTTTCTAATTAGTTTATCGTGAATTTTTTGTGGATTCTCTGATTCCAGGTCTCTCCATTTCATTTTTAATGCCAATAACATTGGTTGCCATTGTTAATTATTAGAAAAGAAAATCCATCACCCCCTGCACCTTCACCATTTTTCTAAATCTTATTGTTATCATAATGTGAAATTTCACATGATTTATCGTTTACTAAGGTACGTAATGCACTTGAACGGAATTATAATCGGGAATATCAACATCCACATCCAGATCTGCATCTGAATACAATGCTCCCTTTAGCAGTTCCTTTAATTTTATTGTTTTGTATCCAAGTACTGAAAGTAGGCATATGCGCAAAGCCCAAAAATTAACATTGAAGTTTTCCCATTGTTGCCAATAAAATTGTTACTCAGGATTAATCATCAAATTCCAAAATATATAAATTGATCGATCGCCAGCATTTTTTACCAAAAGCCACACCCAAATATATGGGAGACGTATATAAAACCTTGTACTATCAACTGGTTCAAGCGTCAAAATTCCAAGGGATTTCAACATTTTGTATGGGACATACCGATTTTTATATTCATCCGTGTAGATACCATCATTTTCATTAACAGATCTTTCTAACATTGCATTTGCAAGCACCGGAGTGATTTGGTTTGCAAATGTTTTAAAGTCATAGCGTGAATGTAGCTTTTCCTCAAGTAAGTGCATAATATCCATTAAATTGATATCTTCCAATTTATTTGTTTTCGCTTCATCCCAAATTAATTCGTAGAATATCTCCAGCGCACGCACCTGACCACCTATATTAGCAATAATACGTTTGAAAAGATTATTTTGATAGACAAAGGTTTCGTCAAATCCAAGGTCACACGCAATTAATAGCATATGAGATATATCCAGTAATTCTAATGGTAACTGAAGAGCTTGATGCATGGATTTGGTAATTACTGACTGGAGTGGACCCTCGATTGTTCCTGCTAATATTGGAACGAAAAAAATTGGTCTCGAGTCACAACTCATTTTGCCAATACTAGCCACAAGACAACAAAAAGCATCCCGATTTATATCATATAGTTTATTGACCTCATCGATTCCAACAATAATTGCAAGTTTTCTCATATTTCCTCTACGCTTGCTTTCATAAACAGCTCGTAATACAATACCCAGACCTAACTGCTTAGCATTTTTTCCAATATTTCGTTCAAACAAGTTGTAGGGCACGCTTTCATCGCCACATACAAAGTAGGTGTATAAAATCCTCAGTGCTAATGAAGCAATATCGACATCAAAATCTGAAAATGCAAATCCATTTCCATATGTAATGTTCCGAAAAACTGCTTCTCCTAGTATGGATTTAATTTCATCATCATTTGATAATTGGGCTTTTTCATGAATAATGTTACAGATCTCCTGCAAAAATCGACTTTTTCCTGTACCAGGACCGCAACCAAGGAATGGAATTGGGTGAAAATTATGATCTTTTTTTGGACTTGCACTACAGTAGTTTCTAAAACGGTTTAGAATCCCATAACTATTAACCCTGTTGCCATACCAGAGGGTGTTCATGGTGTTTTCACGACCACATAAAGTAAATTGGGCACCAAATGATTCAACAAGCAATGCTGGTTTCGTTCCAGTCACTCCAGTCGGGCTATAGTTCTGTATCCATGCTAAAATCGAATACGGATCTTCCAAATTAACTTGAGGTATGGCTATAAAAAATTTAAAGACATACATTTAAATAACAAAGTTATTCACAGAATATAATGAGGTGGAAAAGGACATTGCTCGTCCACGAGCAATCATTTAATTGTTTTTTGCAAAATATTAAGACACTTACCAATGGTGGTGGTGGACAATGGCAGTTGCACGATAATGCGGATGTTACTAGTGGATTCGTGAAAATATTCTCCAACAGTTTTTACTGTAATGGAGATAACATTATACCTTGGTATTGTTCTTTGAAATTTTCGGCATATATTTTGGTTTCTAGATCTTCACCTTCGGTAAGAATATTCACACTCCATAGAACCAGGCTATTCGCGGATACATGGTTTAAATCGGTTTCCTTCTTCTTTTTGATGAGTTCCTTGAGATGCCCAATGATCATGCCTTTGCTGACATCAACTGGAAAAGAATTCCCAATGGCATCACCTAAAACGATTCAAAAAATCTGAAAATTCATTAAAAATTACTTATAAAAATTATATAATTTATATAATTTTTAATACCATGGTTTCTCCAGTATTCGATTGCACTACATATATCATATATAAGTTACAAAGTCCCAAAAATGGTTAGTGTTTAAATAAAAAAATGTTTCAGTTCACACGCGTAATCTGACGTATTTCTAATTTCCGTTCTTGTGATTAGTGACGTTAGTAATCTTAACAATAATGATAAATACATAAGACTTGGGCTGTACATTTACTGTATGTAACCCGACTTACCGAAAAAACTATGTATAATAGAAAATATCGAAAGCATATCACATTCTGAAGGAAAATGCAGTAATCGGGCAAACTAATTTTTTTGCATTCGTAGTTAAATGATGTATTCTGGATTTTCTATTATTCATAAGAAAATTTTGTCACCTCTTTTCATTTTTTCTTTCAGATACAGTCATTTTTAAATGGCTATCTGTTTCTATCAAAAACTTTTTAATATTACTCATAATAAGTATATGTGTGATAATTCGATACTCTTTTATCATAAGCATTATACCATTGCTCACCATAAACTAATAGTCTTCAGTTTGGCATTCTTGATTTCTTGTAAAACATTTTTGTCTCAAAGGTTCATCTTCTTCAGAGATAAGCTCTATATATAATTAATATATATTCTGCATATGAAATCTGCATTATTATGTTTTATTCCAGCTCTAGGAATTATAAAATAGTTGTAGAGCTTCAAATAAAGTATTTATCTTGTTCTTCAACCCTTTAGCTTAATTGTTTTTAATCATTAAAGAGCAAAGTGATTTATAATAAGATAAAGATAATTAGTTTTCAAGTATTGATAAAAGTGTTTCACTGCTCATATAACTGCAAAATACTTAAGTTCTATTGGTGCATAATTTAATTCAGCTTTTGTTAAACTATAACTGGTATATATATAGTATATTCTTTATTTTGATCATCTTTTTAAACAAGTATAGCACCAATATCAATTTTAAGATATTATTATTAATATAGAATAATTGGAAAAAATTGAAATATCTTAAAATTATTAAGTGATTAGATTTTTTCTTGTTTTTCTATTTATTCAATATAGTCTCTTTCCAATAATTAATTTAAAGGATTTGCAATTAAGAAAAAAATTTTAATAAATTTTTTGAAATAGGAAACAAGTCCTAAAATCTTTTAATTAGTCTTATAGTAATAGTTGCAAACCTTGTTAATCTTTTCATCTTTAGTTTGGATTTCTTTTTTGCTAATTTTATATTCAGAAAGTTTAATATACAGAAAAAATACATGATTTTTTCTAAGTTTAATATTAATTTGGCTTGTCTATAAATATTAAAGTAACATTGATATAAATATAGTAGTTTTCATATATCTTGAAAAAATAGTATTATTATTCAAATATACTTTAACAAAGTTTCTCTAAATAGAACTAGAACTTTATTTATTAGTTTTTGAAAAAATGTAAGAATATTATATAATTTAAATAGCATAATATTGAATTTATAAAGTTCAAAATTTATGATAAAAGCAATTTTCTTTTAGTTTTTATTATTTGTAGCAATTGTAAATAACTTTTTATAAGTAATAATAGGTTCTAAAATATTTAATATATAAATTTTTGCAAATTACTTATGTTCCTTTTTAAAGAACAAAATTTATAGCTTTTTACTTTAGTAAGAACTTAATTTACAAAATGTAATAAATAAAAGATTTTGAATAGAGAACTGTCTAAATAAATTTTTTATAGTTATTAATTTAAAAATTTTAATGTTTTCTGATATGAGACATTTGATTTTTAGTTTAACTTTTTTTTAGAGACATGTTTTTATTCATAAGATTAAGATGAGAACTACTTGACATAATTAAAAGTTTTAAAAAGGTTATCTATAATGAAATTGAATAAATATTCTTTTCTATAACTTTATTTAGTTTTCTATAGTTAATGCAAATTAACTTTCTATTATTTTTTTGATACTATTCTATAGAAGAGAAAGAAGATTAGAAACTGATAGTTTAACTATAATTCTTTTTATAATATTTTGTAATTTCTTTTTTAATAAATTTTAATTAATCAGAAAAATTTTTATATATTTATTATTTAATTAATTTTGCATTATCAGTATCAATAGTATGAATTTCCATATTGATATTTTGCAAGTAACTAATTTATTCTTCTTTGAAAATGTTTTTAGTAAAAATATTTTTATTTTTAAATAAGAAATCTTATAAAATTTCTTTTTGTTTTTTTGGTAAAATGCCAATATTTGTTATATTAAATTTTTTATAAAATACCTTTGAAGAATATATAGCTAGATTTTCTAAAAAATATCTTTAATATATATAAAAAATATATGCTTATGATTCTTCAATTTTTTTTTTTTTTATATTTAATTTTATTTAAGATATTATTACTATTATAAAAAATTTCTTCTATATTAAATTGAAAAAAAATATCCACTAAATAAGTTTTTCCAATATTAATATATTTTTTATTGTTACAAATTTATAAAATTCATATATTAAAGTACTACTTGACTTTATTTTTTTAAATTAATTAATATTAAGAAGAAGGGTTTCTTTTTATAATTCAATAACTTCCAACTTGATAGAAATTATTAAATTAGAATAAAAATTTATGAATTCAAAATTTGTTAAATATCTTTTATTTTTGTACTATTAGTAGTTATAATAATTGTTTTAAAGAAAAAATTTAGAGAAATTTCAAGTTAATTAATAAGTTTTTTTATAACAACACTTATAATATTTTTTGAATTTAAAATAACAATAACTGGATTTTTTTAATTTGAATATAACATTTAATAGCTATTATCTTTTTTTTTCTGACTAAAGTAATTTAATAGCTTTAGTATTTTTAGATTTTTTCAAAACCTTAATTAAATTTATTCATTAGTTAGTATATTGTAATATTTATTCAAAAGTTAGCATTTGAACAAATTTGTAGAATATTAATTAAAATATTATATAGATTCAAATTATCTATAATTGATATTTATAATTTGTTTTAAACTCTTTTGAAATAATAATATGTATTATTGCAAGTTTTGTATTTCATCTTCATATACTTCTATAGATTGTATTAAAATTTCTCTTATATATAGTAGTATTTTTTTTTTGAAATTTTAATTGTTTCTGTTTTTCTTTAGTTTTTTTTTATTAATAAAGTAAGAAAAAAATTTTACTTATTAATACTATAAATATAAACTTCTTCTTTTTTTTCTTTTTCATTTTATTCTAATTGGAATATTATTTGATAATTACTGTATATAATTAATTAATTTATTTTTTAATAGAATATTAATATAATAATAAAATTCTTTTAAGAAATATTTTTTGCAAGATAATTTAGTTTACTATAATTTAAGCAGTTTTCTAAAAGGTTTGGTCTTTAAATTGAAGCCAATAATTGCATTATTTGTATTAGAAAATTATTTTTTTATTGAAAAGAATAAGCCTATTTTCTTTAATATTTTTAATTATATTGAGTTATACAGTATCTATTTAAATTTTTTGATTAATCAATCTATGGTATATTTTCAAGCTCTGGAAACTATAGAACTAAGATTTTGTAATATAAAATAATTTTTATCTTTATAAATATCTTGATTATCTTTATATTGTTTGAAATATTTAAGAGTATTATTAATAGTATAAAAATAGTATAAATTTCATTATTGATATAATAGAAACAATATGAAAATTAATATAACTTTTTAAAAGAAATATAATAGAAATCTATAGTTTTATAGAAGTTTTGCTTTCTTTTTTCAAGTTTTTAATCTACTTGTTTATATATTTTGAAAGCAAAAATAGTTTAAAAAAACTTTGTAATAGTATTTCTTACTATATTACTGTATTAATATTATTAGTATTATAATAGATATTATATTATTATTTAGTTTTATCAATAAAATAAATATTAAATATTTGATAAATATTTTATTTTTTAATTATTGACTTTGGCCACTTTAATAAACTTCTACTCCAGTCAATTAAATCTTAAGTATTATTTTAGAGAAAATTTTTATCTTCATAATTATTGCTATAGCTAAACTAACAAGTTTATCACTAATTAATAGTGTCTTGTATAACCTAAATAAACAACAATACTTACAACTAATACTAAAAAAGAGAATTCTTCTATAAAGAACATTTAGGAAAAACAAAGATGTGGTAATTAACTTGGTCAAGGATAAGTGTCTCTTTATTTATATTCTGTTTCTTTTATATAATACCATTATTGTTTTTATTTAATGAATATATCCTTTTCATATTTAGCACTGCCTTTTTTTTTTTTTTAAAGAGGATAATGAAGCCCTGTTTATTGAAGTCGATAGAACAGACCTTACATATTAGTCAGCT